TCTTACTGGGTACTGTTGCAACTGTTTGGTAGGCAGACGCACTGTTGGCTGCTGTGCACATGTCATGTCTGTTGTCTGGTTTCTATCTTGGGCACGGCATCGAGATGAGGTTGAACCACCTGCATCTTTTTTAGATGATATATTACTTTCAAGTAATGATATTGAAAATGATGAATGATGATTATTAATCTTAATGCGTATTAATATTGTAATATAAATGATCATTTTTGCTATAGTTGCTTCACTTGTGGCAACCAAAGTTTTTTGTGGTATTCTATAGGAAGATGCTGCTCCCCATCTCCTAGTATTTTTATTTTATTCTGTCGACTTTAACGACACCATACGGGACGGAACGTGATGGCAATTCACGGAAGGCCTCTGTAATATTTTACATTATATCTTTAATTTAGGAGCCATATGTTCGGCAGTGGACTGTTGTAATGATGATGAATAATGATGACTAAAAATTGTAATTTTTGTTGCTTATTTGAACTATTTCTATTTTACTGTGTGCTTTATTATCTGTTATATATTATGTTATATGTGTAATTTATAAATAAACGCCGAGCAAAGTTGAATTTATTGCTTTGGCACCCTTTTTTTATCTCTTTTAATTGACAATATCCTTCTGATTTCTAATAATATCGTAAACGGGCGAGACATTATATTTTAATGATGTATGGGATTTATACTTGCTAATAGATGAATACTTTAATGAACAAAGGGCCGGCACTGCACCTGTCTGCTGTGTTATTTTTAAAAGAGGACTCATAAAACACTGACGATTTTAACCATAATTAATGCAGTGATTATACATGATCTTTGGGACTTATTACATATCAATATCGTATCATAAATAGAAATGTTACCATCAAGTTATTTTGAAAAAAATCTTTTAATATGATCTTTTGATATGAAAACACGAAAAATGTTTCTACCTATGTCCGTTAGAAACCATCCAAGCGATTTTGATGATATGTTTATGTGTGTTTGAACGGGTCTCTATATGATTCATATTCACATATGGACTCGGTAGGTGGCGCTGTTGTCGAAATCCAGAAATCACCTGTGCGAAGTCGGGGCGGATCGCTAATAATAAATACAATTAAACTATACCTGTGTGTTTGTTATCCTGGCACAAACAGTTCAAAACATCTTACTTCCTCACAATTTATCAGTGTGTAATAACAGATAAGCATGATATTACCTAGTCATTTTGGTATTTTAGAACCCAGTCATTTTAAGATGTATAATTAGGTATTTAATAATCAACCAAAGCATATTAAAAAAAGTCTTGACACCGGGCCTGTCTGTCTGTCTGCATAAATAGATCTGAATTATATGTCTGAATTATATAGACTATGTTGGAAATGATGATTTACCATCTATAAATACGGTTGCATTATAACTTGTTTTTTACACAGTCAGTTTAAAACATCTTTCTTACTATATAACGTGTGTTGGTAATATTGTAAATATAAATGGATATATTATACCTTAGTCATCTTGAATTTATTCATATTATTTTAACGGTAATTGGGAAGTACACTCACAATCAATATATGTAAAAAATTGTATCCATACCACATTTGTACACAGACAGGCACTATATTTTGCCGTAACTACTAAAAATATTGAAGTACCTGAAAATGCTGAATGTACCTACAACTTGGTTTTATATGAACTATTATTCAACAGTGCACTATTTTAACTTAAAATACCGGTAAAAACCACTATAAATAGCTTTTAGTTTATTTATAGGTTATTTTAAAATTCATATTTTAATTGTCAATTTCTCGATTTTCCGTCTAGATGTGGTAAAACTAATATTACTTTTGTAAACTATAAATTATAAGGAATAAATCGACATCCATTTCATTGCGTGACGCGAAAATTTGTGGTGGGCCCATTCTCCATACAAAAATTGATTGTCTCCTTTTCGGCTTCTCGTCAAAGAAAATAATTACAAGTATATTTGGTTGTCCGAATCTAAGATTATGGTACGTAAAAACGACACTACTAAAGCCTTACTAGTATCTTGCCAAAACGATCTTAGGAAAATAAAATGACTACATTTCTTTCCATCTATCGCCCCACTTTTATTATGTTACTATCCCTTTAAAATAATTTAGGGTTGAAAACAACTTTTGTCATTAGTCCTAAGTGTTTGTATTTATGGTCACATATTTTTTGTGTTGGTGGAACTCTAATAAATATCATAATAAAAATACTATACTATAAATTACGATAACATTAACCCTTCTATTTACTATCAAAACGTGAGGGGACTACGCACTAAATCGCACTCTTTTTTTTTTAGAAGCTGTTCTCTGTAATAACTATGATGTAATATGTGTAACAGAATCTTGGCTTAATGATAATTTTCATAACTGTGAGTTCTTTGATAGCCGGTACGAGATATATCGATGCGATCGTAACTTAACTGCTAGCGGACACGGGCGCGGAGGTGGAGTAATAATAGCGGTGCGCCGCGATCTTTGCGCAACGCACCGAACTGACATGCGCGCGCCACTGCCTGCTGAAAAAGTATGGGTGACGGTGACGGTGCCGCTTCACATTCACTCTTGTCCCACCACCTTAACTCCTCGCTCCCATAACGCATCTCGCTCCTTGCATATAATATCAACGTATATTGCGCATGGTAATAATCACGAATTGTTTTTGAGTTGTTTTTACGATAGAGTTAGTGACTTTATAATTCGTAATTCTGATGATGTATGTATTTCTCGTACTCGGCGACTTCAACATAAGTCTTGCTCATTGGTCTTATAACACATGTACTAATTCCTTAGATATACACACAAATAACGATAGCTTAGCTTGTCTTACAGCTGACTTTATGAGTTTATCCTTATTATCGCAACACAATAATCAACTTAACGTAAACGGCAGGCTTTTAGATTTAGTGTTTAGTAATAAAACTTGACATTTTGTTTTATTACTAAAAAACTTTTTTAGTAATAAAACTTGACATTACCTGGAACAAGTTCTGGCACCACAAAGAAATACTAAAATCGCAACTTCCGCTACCGACCAAGAAAATAGTCATGGATACTGGTCTTCTACCGTGCCTCACCTATGGATGCCAAACTTGGACTTTCGATCTCAAAACCAGGAACAAAATTCAGACTACCCAGAGATGAATGGAAAGAAGTTGCCTAGGTATAAAATTGAAGGATAAGGTAAAGAATGTAGCCCGTTATAAGGACGATAGATGGACTCTACGGACAGTAAAGTGGTCTGGGCCAAAAGGCAGCAGATCAAGAGGTCGATCAAAGGCCAGATGGGCAGATGAAATTGTAGCGTGCGCGGGTGGTAGTTGGCTAGACAGAGCTATTGACTAAGAAGGGTGGCATACCTTGGGGGAGGCTTTTACCCGAACGGGGTCCATGCGTTAAATAATTAGGTAGTGTGATAATTAAAGCAAATAATAATTAAAAAAAATTAAACTAATAACTATATATATATAGCTAACTAAAATAATAAGTATACAAATGTAATTGAATGTTATGGGGAAACAAGTTAAGAAATGTATCGTTTAATATGTACTATGCATGGAATTAAATAAAGCTTTATTATTATTATTATTATTATTATAAGAAAACTTGACAAGTATCATCTTGCAAACTTCCTTGTTACATGGGACCCTCATCATAAGGCATTAGAAATTAATTTTAAACTAAGCTTTGCTCCTACACTCAACCCATGCAGAGGTACAAAAAACAGTATCACAAAGCTGACTTCGTATCTATAAAAAAGGCCTTAAAATCTATTAACTGGGAACAAAAATTTAGTCATATGACCAATGTGGAATGCATGACAAACTACTTTTATAATTCTTTAAATGATATTTTGAATGAATATGTTCCTGTTTGTAATTTCAATTGTAATTTAAAATACCCAGTGTGGTATACTAAGCCCCTTGTTAAATTATCGAAGGAAAAATGTAAATACCATAAAAAAATGGAAGGTATACGGCACAATGAGTGACTATCAAACATTTTCATTATTAAGAAGCAGATTTAAAAAAATGCTGCGTAACTGTTATAAAAAGTTTATTGAACTTTCCGAAAATAAAATAAAAACACATCCTACGTTTTTATGGTCTTTTATAAAATCGAAAAATACCACTAGCGATTTTCCTGAAAAGATGTTGTACAAAGGTAAAGTTATTTCTGGTGGTATAGATATTTGTAATGCCTTCAATGAATATTTCCACTCCGTATTTACAACCGTCAGCAATGTTAGTCACCAAGATTAATAAATTTTACTGATATAAGCTTTAACTTAGTTCTTAAAGAATTACAAAAAGTTAATATCAATAAAGGCGCGGGTTCAGATTTTATTCATCCTCTTCGTATTTCGAAATGTGCAAATGAACTCGCAGTGCCGGTAACATTAATTTTCCGCACATCTGTCAAAAGTGGAATGTTCCCCAACATATGGAAATACTCTTTAATAACGCCTCTTCCAAAAAATAATAACAAAGATATAGTAACCGAGTATAGACCTATCTCGAAATTATGTGTCTTGGGGAAGGTCCTTGAGAAAATTATTACCACTTACTTATCGCTCTCTGCTCGTCAATATATCGAGCTATACGTAGAACAAAGGTACATGTGAATATGGAGCTAAATCATTATTATTGTATTTTTGAGTCTAAATAAACGTATTTATTTAACTCGTGAAATCATTTTTTTTCTTAAATTAGTAGGTCCGAAGATTACAGTCGAATAATGGCACATATGGTTTTTCTCTCCAAAGAACAACGTTACGACATCACATGTGTCACTGTGATGTCGTAACGTTGTCGTAAATCTCTGTCGGCATTGGCTCAAAGGAGCCGCGCGCGCCGCGCCGAGACATATATTCAATCGCGCCTATATTCTGGGGAAAGACGGTTGCGCGCACGTGTGTTCTGTACATAGTTTTTTTACGTATTGTAGAATTATAATAATAATAAAGTGTATGTATTTAAAATGAAAAGTACACGTTCTAAACATATGTTAAGTCTACTATTAAGACCGTTGGATAAAATGAATACTGCGTCTGATCCTGCGGAAAAAAGTTATGAACAATTGGAATTCTCAGGTAAGTTAATCTAATATCTTATGTAAACGAGCCCCGACGGTTCGACAAAAAATGAGATTGACTTCATTATGACTACCAGACGCCAACTGTTCAGTGATGTCTCAGTGATCGCAAGGGTGAAAACCGGCAGCGATCACCGAATGGTTAGAGGCACACTGAACCTAAACGTTAAGTTGGAGAGGTCTCGTCTAATGAAGTCAACGCTCCGTCCCCCTCGTGCTCTAATCCAGAATCCCGAGTCTTTTCAGCTCGAATTACGTAACCGCTTTCAGTGCCTAGAAGATTGCAATGCAGTGGACGATATGAACGACAAGCTCTTGGAAACTATCCATGCGGTCGGAGTTAAGTTCTGCAAGACCCGCCGCAGAAGGACACAAAAACTCTCCGATCACACTCTTAATCTCATGGCTGTTAACGGACTAGATGAGGCTGCAATCGTCAACAGATTTGACAGCATACAGGCAACTGAACAGACAGATCTCTAAATGCATGCGGCGAGACTTAAGCAACTTTAATACTGCTCCTATTAAAGAAGCGATCGAGCGGAACCAGGGCTCCAAAGTCTTTGCCAGAGATCTGTCTGCCAGAAAGAGCCAACTGTCAAAGCTGAAGACTGAGTGTGGCAGCATCGTTTCCGAGACACCTGAGATTTTGAGTGAGATTGAGAGGTTGTATGGGCAGCTGTACACATCATCGTTGGAGCCACACGCAAGTGTGAGTAACGATCCAAGAGCAAGTCTTACCCGACACTATTCCGATGATATCCCGGACATCATTCATGAATGAATGAAAAATGGGCAGCTGTACACATCATCGTTGGAGCCACACGCAAGTGTGAGTAACGATCCAAGAGCAAGTCTTACCCGACACTATTCCGATGATATCCCGGACATCAGTCTGAGCGAGATTAGAATGGCTCTCCAGCATCTTAAAAACGGCAGGGCCCCAGGCGAGGATGGAATTTCGCGGAACAGCGGAGCTTCTGAAAGCGGGTGGAACACCAGTACTTGAAGTCCTTCAGAAGCTCTTCAATTCCGTCCTCCATGGTTGCCACCATACTAACTGCCTACTCCGGAGGCGTGGAGCAGAAGTGCGGTGGTCTTGTTCTTTAAGAAAGGCGACAACGCTCTCTTGAAGAACTACAGACCGATTTCCCTTCTGAGCCGCGTCTACGTGCTGTTTTCGAGAGTCATTACGAATCGTCTCGCACGCAGACTCGACGACTTCCAGCCTCCCGAACAAGCTGGTTTCCGAAAAGGCTTCAGTACCATAGACCACATACATACCCTGCGGCAGATTGTACAGAAGACCGAAGAGTACAATCCGCCACTTTGCCTGGCGTATGTGGACTATGAGAAAGCCTTTGATTCCGTCAAAATTTGGGCGGTGCTACAGTCACTTCAGCGGTGCCAAATTGACTGCCGGTATATTGAAGTGCTGAAGTGTTTGTACAGTAGGGCTACGATGGCTATCCGAGTACAGAACCAGAGTTCGAAACCTATCCAACTGCAGAGAGGTGTAAGACAGGGTGACGTTATATCCCCGAAACTCTTCACCGCTGCGTTGGAAGACGTTTTCAAGCTACTGGACTGGAAAGGATACAGTATTAACATCAATGGCGAGTACATCACTCACCTTCGATTTGCCGACGATATAGTCCTTATGGCGGAATCGCTGGAGGACCTTAGCACTATGCTCAATGACCTCAATGGTGTCTCCCAACGGATAGGTCTTAAGATGAACATGGACAAAACAAAGATCATGTTTAATGTCCATGTCACACCTATGCCGGTAGTTGTTGGGAGCACTATGCTCGAAGTTGTTGACGAGTACGTTTACCTGGGACAAATAGTCCGACTAGGTAAGTCCAACTTCAAACGAGAGGTCAATCAACGGACTCAACTCGGCTGGGCAGCGTTCGGGAAATTACGACACATCTTCTCGTCAGGTATACCTCAATCTCTGAAAACTAAAGTGTACAACCACTGCGTGTTGCCAGTGTTGACTTACGGATCTGAGACGTGGTCCTTCACTGCTTGCCGTATGAGGACGCTCAAGGTCGCTCAGCGTGCTACGGAGAGGGCTATGCTCGGAGTTTCTCTGCGTGATAGACTCAGAAATGAGGATATCCGCAGTAAAACCAGAGTGACCGACATAGCGCAACGGATTAGTAAGCTGAAGTGGCAATGGGCCGGCCATATAGCTCGAAGAACCGATAACCGATGGGGAAGAAAGGTTCTCGAGTAGCAGCCTCGTACCGGTAGGCGTAGTGTAGGGCGACCCCCCACTAGATGGAGTGACGACCTGGTAAGACATGCAGGAAGTCTCAGGACCGTGCTTTGTGGCATTACTTGGGGGAGGCCTATGTTCAGCAGTGGACTTTTGAAGAACTGTAATGATGATGAATGATGAATCACATTATATCCGCAAAACTTCGACAAATCTTTACCCGGATGTCAGTCTCAGTATCTCAAAGATGTTTCAGCTATATAAGGAATGGTTTGATGCTTCGATTTATTCGAGTATGGCTGCTACTGAGTGACAATATCGAGACCTTGTCAATAAGCATTTTAATTTGGGATTCTTCATTCCCAAAAAGATCAGTGTGATACTTGTCATATTTTTAGAAACAAGACTGATCACACTAACAAAGAAGGACTGGATTATGAAAAACATTTATCCCATAAAAATTCAGCTCGTAAGTTAAAGAATCTCGACAAACGTGATGCAATTGAATCAAATGGTACGTCACTGGCAGCAGTTTTCGTTTTTCAAAAAGATTTATCGTGTCCTCATGGTCAGGTTAGTGTGTTTTCTTATAAGCCAAAACTGTCTTGCTTGGACTTTACCATTGTTGACATGCGTAGAAAGAGGGTCGTTTGCTATATGTGGGATGAGACAGTGGCAAAAAGAGGGGCAAATGAAGTAAGCAGTTGTTTGCTTGACTATATAGAGCAGAATGTAAGAAAGGGACTTACACAGTTCAGGTTTTGGTCGGACAACTGCGCCGGGCAAAACAGAAATCGTTATGTGTTCTTTCTCTATGTTTATTCGGCTTTTAAGTTTAACGTGACTATAAGACACCGGTTTCTCGAGAAAGGTCACACTCAGAATGAAGGAGACAGTGTGCACGCTCTTATTGAACGAGCAGCCGAGAAGAAAACCATTTACACTCCAGACGGATGGCGTTTGCTTGTTCGTTAGGCCAAATGCACAGGAGGTCCCTATGAAGTCGGTAACATGACACAAAATAATTTTTTTAAGCTAAAAGGTCACGTAAACAACAAAGCCTGGTGCAAAAATACAGTAGGCGTAAAGGTTTCATGGAGCCGTGTCAAAGAGGTATTTGTAGATAAATCAGAGCCTAATAAGCTACTATATAAATATGATCTCAGCGAAAATCATTATTTTACCGTTTTAATACGCTCAAATACACGCAATGCTTCTACTTTTTTCTCTACTCTAGAACTGGCTTACAAAACACCTATCAATTTACCCAAAGATAAATATAAGGATCTCATTAGTTTAGTCGATTCTGGAATAATACCTTCCCAATACGCAGTTTTTTTTACATCTCTGCCAGTGAGCACAAATTAATAATGTTGGCATTGTCAATAGCGATAGTGAAGATGACTGATTTTTTATTTTTAATGCTCAATGTTTATTTTTATTTTTTTTAATTAATGGTTTTTTATTCAACAATGAACCCTAATGCTGCGGTTAGAATTCAATTATAAAAGAAGAATGCGCTTATTGTTTTATTTTCATGAATTAATTAGTATTTACACTATTTCATTTTTGGATATAATATAATTTTATATTTTTGTGCATTGTGAAACTGTCACGTCTAAGTTTTATGTTTTAATATAATTAAAAACTTTAAACTTTAGTTCAAAGTTATACGTCATACTCTCGTATTAGTTACTTATATTATTATTACAGATTTTCTTATACTTCCTTTAAAATAGGTTAGACGCCCAGTACTTAGTTTGTTGATTTTATAATTTTTGATTATTTTGTTCTTATTTGTTGATATTAAAGTTTATAAGTCTAATACACAGTAAACATTATAGAAATAACTTACATTTAGTTACAGACTGTGAACTATTGATCAATAAAACCTTAATAACAAAAAAAAACCTTTGTAATTTACTTAATTCGCATATACCTTTTTATCATTAAGATCTTATGGTTGTGTATTTACTTATAATAAAGACATATGTGCGCATTTAACCAACAATTTTCCGAAGAATAAGGTTATATATCTATATGTAACCTACAGACATCCACTATAAAACGTCACATATGCATATAGCACAGGCTAGATTTTAAAATACAGTTCTTTAATTAACGATTTTAATATCCATGCCTTATCAATAGTACATACCAAAAAACTAATTGTCTAGTTTAAATAACAAAAAAGTTAAAGTTCTTTCCAAAGCAGGTTCAGCCATCAAAAGGTTTTATATTCCTTCAGAAGACATAAAACCACTTCCAGAAGAAATAGTTAAAAAACTACATCCACTGCCTAACACACTTAAAATACATCAAGTAATATTAAATGAAAGAAATTCAGTAAGCTTTCGAGATTTAAGTTGCTTTTGCAAAAATATGGGTGGTAGATGTGATTGTCATTCTATAAAAACACACAGATTTGAAGTTAGCAACGAAAAACTAACGAAAAGCAGAACACGGAAAAACTTAACAAAGAAAAAGGATAAAGGGAAAATAAAGAAAAGGGGAAATAGTTCATCATCAACCAGCAGCACCGAAAGTTTTGAAATAGAATATTTAGACGACAATGATGCCACACATTTTCTGAGCCTAGTTCTGAAGCAGAATATTTAGGGGAAGAATATTTGAATGTAGAAAAAGAAATATTTAAAGACAGTGTTTTAGAAGAAAAACAGGAGAGAAAGTCGGCTGCGCAAAAAGGAGTCACAATATTATCAGAAATGCGAAATTTACCATGTAACAAAAGATATTTTGACTTAAGTCAATTTAATAAACTACAATTTCATAAATTGGATTCTAATTTTGATCTTTTTTTCTGCCAAAAAATCATTAGATGTCACAATAACAGAGAATGCTGAACCATACACAAACTCGGTAGCAAGTGCTTCTGGAATTAATAAAAACAGTAGTCTTAAAAATTTTAAGGTACCAAAAGTTAGGCAAAATAAACAAATATGTGACTCTAATATAATCAGAAAATCTGACAAATGTGAAATAAAGGAATATCTTTTGAATTCAAAAGAAAATTCTGTAGTCAGATTCGACAAAATTGACAAAGACCTTAAGAAAATAGATGGGGGTAGATTTGGATAGTTTAAAAATCTATGAAAAGAACAAAAAAACTAAAGACTGTGAAGAAAGCTGTAAACCGAATTTAAATATTACTGTAAAAGCTACAACAAAATACTGATGACTTAGAATACAAAGATGAAACAAATATAAAAGATATTAAAATAAACCAAAATGTATTAGTAAGATACTATAATCGTAACAATGGGAAGTACTATACAGGACGTGTAGAACAAATAAATATTACAGAAGATAAATATACAGTTAATTTCCTAAAGACAGTAAAACACCCTTCACTGAAATTCGTTGTGACGAAGAAACTAGACCGAGACACTGTTCCTTCTGTGTCGATTGTAAAAGCTATAGAATTAATTACAAATTATAAAAAAACGAATATCTGCTAAGAGATAGTTTTGACATTTGTTACTTTTATTAATCTGTGTTTAAGTTTGAATTTATTTTGATTTATTAGGTTTTACGAAGGAATAGTGCCATAAAATACCAAGAGTTCAAATAAAAATTAAGTAGTACATTATTTTAACGATATATTTTCTGTTGTGAAACAAATATTTTTATGTCTAAGTATTATTAAAGGTAGGACTAAAAGTAATTTTTTTTTTCAAAATAAGACGTTTATATTTTAATTACAGATACAATAAAGCTGATAAAAATAAAACTGAGTTTTACTAAGGCAGAAGTGAAAAAATTGAATATATTAAATTTTCTCAAATTCTGTGATGATTCCCTATTGTAGATATGCCATGGTAACTTATACTTTTATGTTACATGAGGCCAATTTAACGGCCTTACCCATATACTAATGGTGATAGTTTGATAAAAATATGTTTGTATTATATTAAATAAATGGTTAAATTTGTATCAGAATTTTATTAACAAATCCTTTTTAAAAAGCAATGAGTGAATGCAGGAAATAAAGTAAATGGGGCTCTAAACTCTATTGTGAAAAGTCAGAATGTGTCAAAAAAGGCACATATGGCTGTTAGTCCCTATTTTAACATATGGTAGTGGAAGTTGGGTGTGGCAGAAGAAGCACGAAAGTAGAATAAACCTCACAGACATGATAAGAAACCTCTGCCCAGCAGTGGGATGATATAGATCATACTTGAGATATCTAAACAACCCTCTTTAAACCTTTGCGCCGCCTAACTATTGAAAATATTTCTTCTATAAAACAACCATTTTAAAACTAATTAAAAATAAAGGCTGCAACAATATCACGTAAAATATATTCTCTACGGAGGGTTATATTTTTGGGGTTTTTATTCATGCACTATTTTCTCACTAAAGTCCTTAATAATATAATCATCAGCTCCTTAATCATCATCACTCTTAGAAAAAAACTTAAGTGCTTAAAACACACAATTTGAAGCTCATTTCGTCATTATTTTAATTATAATGCACTATTACGGCGTAGAATTATAGACGCAAGACCTAAACATGTCATTATTTTATCGAAAACAATAAGATAATTGTAGAAAAAAAGTTTATACTGGTAGAGCCATGCTGCAATTATATTAGAAGTATAGTTGTAGCACGAATGGGTCGGCTCGACCGGGGAAGGACCACGCTCTCACAGAATACCAGCGTGAAATAGTAGCTTAATACTGCTGTATTTCGTATGGTGAGTGTAGAGAACCGGAGACCCTTGTTACTGAAAATGAGGCATTCCATCTCAGTCCTCGCGGGTGACAACGCATCTGCATTTTGATTTGTAATGGAAGATAGATGTAGATGTCTATGGGCCGCAGCAACCACTTACCATCAGGTGGACTGTGTGCTCGTTTGTCACCCTATCCTATATAAAAAAAAAGAAAACAAAATATTAATATGAACACAAGTCCTAAAACGTTACTGTTTTGCTATTGCTTTAATTCCAATTCCTACGCAATATCAAACACAATACGCTGCTGTCATCTAACTCTCAAAAGTGCGTCGGGAGTACCGATTTCGCTTAGACAATTTCAATTCCAATCCCAATTAGTTCACACAATCACCACGCAATACTGAACTAATTTAGCGCTAGAGTCGCTTTCAAGAGTAACAAATGTCATAATTCCAATCCCGATCGATCGGAATTGTTTTCACGAGTAAGCCTACTGTTAACGCTGCTCGTAGGATCGGTAGTCTTGGCTTAATTGCCCGGACTATGAAGAAGACAACTTCTATAAAAAATCACCCTAAGTCTACGGTGAGATTCGTGCCAAGAGACTGCATGGCTGGGAGACCAGTCGCAAACGATCCACTTCGACGGACCTGGCAAATGTCGTTGTATTAGCCTTCTAGGGAGAATAGGCGTAACCTTCCTAGCGACCTGTTATATCGGCCTTACTCGTGGGACTAAAATGAACCAATTAATTACAAAAAATCAACAAACCCTACCAAATTCTAAAAACCCGACAAACCCTAATAGCATGATCCAACAAACTTTGCATGAAAGCATGTTTATTCGGAACAGAAGCAACTCGACATCGTCTCTGCCAGCAAAGCTTAATGACTATAACTCCAACCAACATTACAAGGAGAAAGATAATCTGGATTTACACAGACCGAGACCCAATTTGATAGTGACAACATAGCCTCAGACGAATGGCAAAGGAATGAAATTCCCACCAGGACAAAAAAAAAGAAAGAAACAAGTCCAATTAACAACGAGGGGAATACAAAACAGAAAAATTCCCCAGACTTTGTGATCCCTACACGCAATAGTTTTGAACTACTTGATACAGGGCCTCCGGATAGAACCAACAATACAGATAAAGTATATGTACCAAAGCCAGAACCCATCTTTGTTACTAGCGTAATTAATGTAAATTCTCTTAAGGATGTACTAAACAAATTTCTAAAGAGCGAACTTTACCTCATGACCACACTTAGATCTGGACACGTTATAAAAATTATACCTAAATACATCCAGACATTCAAAATGATTCGAGAGAACTTCATTGCCAATAATATCTCACACTATACTTACCATCTTAAAAGCGAGAGAGCATACAGAGTAGTACTACGCGGACTCCATGCATCAGAAAATACCACAGAAATTTCAAAAGAATTGTATGAAATTGGACATGAAGTGAGACAAATAGTCAATATCAGACATCGAGATACAAAGGAACCGTTGCCTGTATTTTATGTCGATTTAGAACCAAAGCCAAACAACAAAGCCATTTTCGATGTGAAATACTTGAATAACATGAAGATTACCTTCGAAGCCCCATATAAGAAAAAGGAAATAATTCAGTGCAAGAGATGTCAGAGATTTGGGCATTCCAAGAATCAATGTTTTAGGCCCTATCACTATGTTAAATACGGTAGCGCTCACCCTACAACAACATGTACTAAAAAACCAAACACTGAGGTTGCTTGCACGAACTGTGATGAAAAACACCCCGCTAGCTACAAAGGATGCAAACTGTACAAATAGAGAAAGAATTCTTAAATTAGATTCTAAGTCAAAAAGAAAACCAATGCCTAATAATATAGAGACCGGAAACCCGGATCCCCACCTGGGTACTAAGACTAACCGCAAAGATAATCAAAACTTAACTAAAACCTATTCAGAAGCAACAAAAACCAAAGAACAATATATTCAGCAAAACACAAAGAACGACTTAGCCGATTCTTCTGATTTAATGGACATAATGTTTGAAAAACTACAACATTCAATGTTGACAATGATGGAAAAAATCATGGACAAAATGATGGACCGCATGGTCCAGCTAGTCAGCAGCCTGGTGAAAAAATGACCCGAAACCTCCAAGTAGTTACTTGGAATGCCAACGACTTGACGGAAAGATGTCAAGAATTAGAAACTTTTCTCAGAACAGAGATGATTGACATAGCACTAATCTCTGAAACAAGATTCACACCGCATCCAATCATCCAACTGGGAACAGCCATGGAGGAACAGCAGTAATTATTAAAATAATATTAAACACTACCCCATAGAAGAATACCGAACAGAAAAAATACAAGCAACATCTATTAAACTTGTAGACAGCAAACTAGAAACTACATTCTCCGCTGTGTATTGTCCTTCAAAACATACTATATCTGCCAACGACTTCGCGAAATATTTTTCTACACTGGGTAACAGATTTATATGTGCTGGCGACTGGAATTCTAAACATATAAATTGGGGATCTAGCCTGAACAATACTGGAGGAAGGCAACTTTGCAAAGCCACAGTAGAGATGAAATTAGAATGTCACTCCGGCAGAGAACCTACCTCTTGGCCTACCTACAGACAAAGAATCCCAGACTTATTGGACTTTTTTATTGTTAAAAACATGGATAGTAACTACATAAACATAGAACCTCGAATAGATCTCACATCTGACTACACATTAGTTATACTGAATGCTACTACAACAGTTAATCTGGTAGCACAGCCCCTAAGGATATACAACTCAAACACTACAGAGTGGACATTCTATAAAAATATAATCACAACAGAGAACTAAAAATCAAAATTAATATAATATAAGAACTTGAAAGACAACTGGAACAACTTAATACATATGACTATTCACATTGCTGCCAATTCTGCAACTCCAAAAAGGACAGGTAATGGACAACTTCTGAAACATAACTCATATCCAAAAGATAAAGATAAGATAATACAAGAGCGCCGACGTAAAAAAAATCTTGCATACTACGGGATATCCAAGTGATAAAACTGCATTCAATAGATACTCAAATGAACTCAAAGCTCTTATCAGCACCCTAGAAAATGCTAATATTCAACACTATCTCTCAAATCTAGATCCAACGAGAGACACAAACTACTCACTATGGAAGGCTACCAAGAATCTAAAGCGCCCGAAAAACCGTACATTACCTATCAATGATGAAAAAGGAGGTTGGGCTAGATCAGATAAAGTAAAGGCAACAATCTTTGCGGAACATCTGAAAACAGTTTTCCAACCACTCCCCGAAAACAATCCCGAACACACTATGGAAATCAAAGAATACCTCGAATCAGCGAATCAAATGTGTTTACCACTAAAAAGTACCAGCCCAAAAGAAATTGTGGAAGAAATAAGGAACCTCAAGGATGGTAAAGCACCCGGCTATGGCCTGATTGATGCCACATTACTTAAAAATCTGCCTCATAAAGGTATAAAGAAATTAGTTAACATCTTTAATGCTAGCTTAAGACTTGAACATTTCCCTGGGCAATGGAAAATTGCACATATAGTCATGGTGCCGAAACCCGGGAAACCCCCACACGAAGCTACTTCATACAGACCCATCAGCCTGCTACCAGTTATCGGCAAACCGTTTGAGAGGATATTGCTTAACAGGATGAAAGAACATCTAAGTACAGTATTACCGAACCACCAATTTGGATTCCGGGAAAAACACGGGACAATTGAACAGGTACACCGTATAGTTGACACCATCAGCAGATGCCTTGAAAACAAATTATATTGCTCTGCAGTCTTTTTGGATATCAGCCAAGCGTTTGATAAGGTATGGCATGACGGCCTCCTGTTTAAGCTAAAGAAGCATCTCCCACATTGTCTATTCCTAATATTGAAATCCTACTTAGATACAAGATGCTACCAAGTGAAGTATGGCGATGATATCTCAGAGGTACACGAATTAAAATCAGGTGCTCCCTCAGGGCAGTATATTGGGCCCTATACTATACCTCATTTTTACAGCAGATATCCCAAAAACTGACTACACCACGACTGCGACATACGCTGATGATATGGCGCTTCTGTCGGATCATAGAAACCCAGAAACGACATCATCACAGCTGCAAAACCACCTGACAGTTGAGAGGTGGCTGAATCATTGGAAAATAAAAGCCAATGAGAACAAATCGGTACACGAAACGTTTACTCTTAGGAGAGAAACATGTCCACCGGTAACGCTAAACTGTAAAGTTATCCCTCAAGAAAATAACGCAAAATACTTGGGCATGCACCTAGACTGGAAACTTACATGGCAAAAACATATTTGGACAAAGCGCAAACAACTAGATGGAAAACTGCGGACATCGAACTGGTGACTGGCACGCAAATCACAACTAAATCCTAACAGCAAGATGCTAGTGTACAAAACCACCATAAAACCAATCTGGACTTACGGGATACAACTGTGGGGAACGGCCAGCAACAGTAATACAGATATCTTGGTGAGATTCCAGAGCAAAGCTCTGAGAACAATGTTTGGATATCAGCCAAGCGTTTGATAAGGTATGGCATGACGGCCTCCTGTTCAAGCTAAAGAAGCATCTCCCACATTGTCTATTCCTAATATTGAAATCCTACTTAGATAAAAGATGCTACCAAGTGAAGTATGGCGATGATATCTCAGAGGTACACGAATTAAAATCAGGTGTCCCTCAGGGCAGTATATTGGGCCCTATACTATACCTCATTTTTACAGCAGATATCCCAAAAACTGACTACACCACGACTGCGACATACGTTGATGATATGGCACTTCTGTCAGATCATAGAAATCCAGAAACGACATCATCACAGCTGCAAAACCACCTGACAGTTGAGAGGTGGCTGAAGCATTGGAGAATAAAAGCCAATGAGAACAAATCGGTACATGAAACGTTTACTCTTAGGAGAGAAACATGTCCACCGGTAACGCTAAAATGTAAAGTTATCCCTCAAGAAAATAACGCAAAATACTTGGGCATGCACCTAGACTGGAAACTTACATGGCAAAAACATATTTGGACAAAGCGCAAACAACTAGATGGAAAACTGCGGACACTGAACTGGTTACTGGGACGCAAATCACAACTAAATCCTAACAGCAAGATGCTAGTGTACAAAACCACCATAAAACCAATCTGGACTTACGGGATACAACTGTGGGGAACGGCCAGCAACAGTAATATAGATATCTTGGAGAAATTCCAGAGAAAAGTTCTGAGAACAATGTTTGGCATCCCTCATAGTTTAAGTAATAGATACGTATACCTCGACCTTGGTCTAAAAACAGTTCGACAGGAAATAGCTCAAAACAGCCTGAAATACCAGGAGAAGCTGACCGTCCATGTAAACAATCTCTGAGCGGAGAAGGCACTCTTCAGCATACCCGGCTAAAAAGAAGTGACGTACGGAGCCTGCATAAAAGATTTACCACGACATCAAGAGAGTCGTGTGAAAAGTTTCATACAAGTATGGCTCTTGAGGAAAACATAAACTGAGAAATCAAACAAACAAGTGGCTTATTGCTGGAAAGCAGATTGCCATGAAGCAGAAACATCAAAAAAAGTAGTTTTCCATGGCAATCATTTGATAGCATCCAGCATATGTATGAAGGAAAAGAAGGTTTTATTTAACAATACAGCATAGGAAAGATAGCAACATGTTTCAAAAGCAGAAATTTGGTTTTGGTAAGTATTACATTACGTTTTGGAAGTTCAATTTAGTGTGTATTGTTTTTCGCAATCTTCTTATCCAAATTTGTCTGTGTCTATTTTTAACAAACAATTTTAAATTAACATTAATGGGAAATTAATAAACCTTACTATTTTGCTGTAAAATGGGGGGAATAGGGTCTAGGGGGTGAATTAGGACAAACCTCAAGTTTTATTTGCGACCTTATTCACACATTTATGTTACATATTACATTTTGTGGTAGGATTTGAATTTGAAGCCTGCAATATTTTTTCTATAATCCGGCAACACTCAGCCATCCTGTCATAAGTATTTAAAAAAAACGTACTTCAAAACATTGGGTCAAAGTTGTGGGAAATTTGGTCCGTAAAACATTTTAATTTTCACTGGTGTTTACTAGATTTGTACTAGAAGTGAAGTTTTAACCGTTATTTTCAGTTGTTTGGGAACGGATTAAGCTATAATATAAGTGATATAATCTTATTGTTTTTCCTATAATTTAACAAATTCTTACTAAAGTAGAATTGAACAATAATTGGGGGGATAAGGGTCGAACTATGGGGTGTATAGGGTCGTAGATGGGGTTTAATAGGTACCCGATTAGGGTTAATTGGGACGGCTATGGGTGAATTGGGTTTTTGTTTCTAGGGTTGTCACAATCTCTAAATTACATTAAACTTAATAAAAGTGATGGTAGATAGGTACCTAATACATACTTAACTGACTATCTTTACTTACCTACACATTTATTTAAATTTTAGTAATGATTGATTAGTTAATTAATATTAATTGAAAATTGACACCTACATAATTTAGGCGATATTAAATTTAAATTGTTTGATATTAGCAGGTGGCACTCTTTTTTTCCGGCGGGTAAAGATCCCTCCCATCCCGCCCTTGGGCGGAGCGGGAGATAGTGTCAGACTCTTACTGACTAAAAAACCCACCCCGTTCGTTGCCTATACTGGGGTTAAGTTTTCCTTTCGGACGCAACCATGCCCCGGCACTCCGTAGTTTCTGCCTATCCCCATGGGGAACACGCGTGAATTTATTTGTACATTATAAGTATACATCTTCTAAAAATATAAAAATGAACCCTTATTTCGCTTGGTCACGCCATCACGCGTGAACGGTTGGACCGATTTCGCTTATTCTTTTTAGGGTTCCGTAGTCAACTAGGAACCCTTATAGTTTCGCCATGTCTGTCTGTCCGTCTGTCCGTCCTCGCTTAATCTCTGTGACCGTTAACACTAGAAAGCTGAAATTTGGTACCAATATGTGTATCAATCACGCCGACAAAGTGGTAAAATAAAAATTGGAAAAAAAAATGTTTTATTAGGGTAGTCCCCCTATATGTAAAGTGGGAAGTGATTTTTTTTTTAATTTCAACCCTTACGTGTGATATATTGTTGGAAAGGTATTTAAAAATGAATAGGGGTTTACTAAAATCATTTTTTGATAATGTCAATAATTTCAGAAATAATCGCTCCAAAAGTAAAAAACAATGTGTCCCCCCCCTCTAACTTTTGAACCGTAGGTTTAGAAAATATGAAAAAAATCTGAAAGGTAGAACTTTATAAGGACTTTCTAGGAAAATCATTTTGAACTTGGATCGAAACAGTTTTTGTACAAAAAAACAAAAAGTTGTACAAAATAATTTCTGGACTAAGTTTGTAGTATAATCGCTTAAGCAAGCATTTTTTTTAACTTCGTTTACATATTTTATTATCCTGAACGTATCTTTTTTCAAACAAAAAAAGAATTATTAAAATCGGTTCTCGTAATCCAAAATTACCACCGAAAACTTCTGGCACGTCTATGTATTAATTAGTAACCCAATTCCCCGAGAGATGGCGCTGTAGGTACTTTTTACATTGGGTCGGGTATTATCGAATTGTTCGGTTGGTCTCTCCTTGGCATCGCCTACCACGGAGCGTGCGATGTTGTACGCTCCATGTTCGCGCACGTACCCCCACTACCGGGAGCAGTTGCAGGAGCGCGGGCGCTGCTGGAGCGCGAATATAATGGATGACCCACCTTTAAACTCATAAGTGGAACACTTATTGTGACGGACGGGAAACTACGGAACCCTACACTGAGCGTGGCCCGACACGCTCTTGGCCGGTTTTTTATTTGTTGTGTAATTGTTAATGTCAGGAGAAGATTCTTATGGAAAAAAAATGAAAATTAGGGTAGTGTAGGGTAGAGCAAGGTAGAGTATGGTAGACTAGGGTAGGGTAGGATAGAGTAGGGTAAGGTAGGGTATAGTAGGGTGGAGTAGGGAAGAGCGGGGGCGAAGCCGCGCGGGCAAAAGCTACTATGTGTAAGTATAGATTTTATTGATTTTTTTCATATTATTTTTGGTTGTTGTTTTAGTTATTCTCTAATATATAATGCCACGAGTATATAAGCCAAGACCTGGTGGAAAACAATATAAAAAATATGACAAGACTGTAAGGAAACAGGCGCTCGATGAGCTAACTTTAAATCGTCATGCAACAATCAGATCTATAGCAGAAAAATATAATATTAGCAGATCAGTTTTACTGAGGCAAAGCAATAGACAAATGAGGTCACCAGGAGGCCAAACGGCACTTACTAAAGAAACAGAAGATTACATTGTGCTGAATCTGAACACTTGTGCTGAATGGAAACTTCAATATCACTGATGATGGCAGGAACTGCAGAAGGAGAGCTTTTACCACCGTATGTGGTTTATAAATCTACAAACCTCTACGTTACGTGGGTAAAAAATGGACCCGTAAACGCAAGATATAACCGAACGTCGTCAGGGTGGTTTGATGCAGAAGTGTTTAAAGACTGGGTCAAGGAAGGTCATTCCATTTTTTTAAAATAAGCAAGGGAAAAAGTCTTGATAGGCCTATCGTCTCACTTATCGATAGAACTAATAGATATCTGTAAGAATTTTGACATTCATTTCGTCTTTTTACCGGCAAATTCAACACATCTCACACAGCCTTTGGATGTGGCGTTTTTCCACCCGATGAAAGTAGCCTGGCGTCAAATTCTTCAAAAATTGAAGAAAACGGACGGCCGTTCACTATCATGTGTACCAAAAGGTTGCTTCTCAAGCATGTTAAAGTTGCTCATGAATCTAATTAATATAAATTCGGAAAATAATATTAGGGCAGGATTTCGTAAGACTGGTAAGCATTAAAGTGAATACAGATAATTCATTTTACTATGCTTCTTTATTAAATTAAAGTACCTATCCTAAAATAAATAATAATTACATGAATGTTCCTTTATTAGGTATCAGTCCATTAAATCCTAATGTAGTGTTGGTAAGATTACCGGAAGGGGCGCAGAATGATGAAGAGGCTAAAGAAGCTATAGACAAGTCAGTTTTAGTTTTATTAAATGCGATACGGAAGTATAAATTTAACCGACAGTAGCCTAATGACAGGGTGCGTAACGCGAATTCAAAAAGGTCGTGGGTTCGAATCCGCCATTCGACTACTGGCGTGAACCACGCCACAATTTAACAAGGAGAAAACGAAAAAAAAAAAATCGTCCAAGCAATTTAAGCTTAACATGGTAAGGAAAAAAGAGCATAAAAAAAAAAAAAAAAATACAACAATATTTTGTACATAGGTTTTCGAATTTCAGGTCGAAGTGTTTCACACGAAGACGTAGAAAGTTACGCTGATATAGATACTGAACCTGAAATAAAAAAAGAAACGAATCCAAAAAGTAAATAACACAAAAAGTGCTAAAGGTTAAAGGTGTAGGAAAAAAAACCAAGAAAATATGTCTTAAAAAAGAAAATAAATCGCCATCGCCAATAGCACATTGTTCAATGGCATTCGAAACAATCATAACTGAAACGAACAATTTGCCCGCATCTGGTAATGATCAAGAACAGCGTAGTGATTGGCGTGATATAGAAGTTGAAAAATTACCCGTTGTGCTAGCAGAAGATTTACAATTGTATGAAGAAATAGTAATACCCTGTTGCGAACCTACAGATTTGAAAGGAACAAATGCGAAAGAAGAAATAAATCTGATAGAAATTGAAAATGAACACGCCAGTACTAGCACTACAAATGAACCGAACATTATAATTAATAGTAATACAAAAATAACTTCAGAACAATTAACAAAATTTTTTCCGAAAAATCCAACCAAGCAAAATTTGAAACCAGTAGCCATAAACCAAAAAATAAATGTTACCAAGAAAAAGAATTACTATAATGACAGTGATGAAACCTTAAAGATTCCAGAAAATTAGTGAGTTTGAGCTATGACTTGTAATTGTTGTGTTGATTATTGAAAAAATACTTACGTATTTATTCAATAATTAATTATTAAACAAATATCTACTGCTTATTTTATTATTAGTTATTAAATAAATATCTACGTATTAATTAAAAAATAATACTGTCTATTTTTAATATTTTTTAAGTTTGCCTGTTAGAAATTTTAATTAAGTTTGATTTGAGAGGACTTTATTTTATGTTTATTTGGAAGTAAGATTTATTTTCTGCTTTGTTTAATTTTAAGTAAAAAAAGAAAACGTTGATTTCGTTAATGGATTCTTATTTTTCACTACATTTCTAACTTTATTTATATATGATTATTATTATATAATTACGAGTATGATTTATTAGATTTTATATTATGAGACTGACACTTTAAAAACTGGTAGGTATATGTCAAGTACGTAACCTAAAAAGACACTTCCTACCAGGTAGGTAGTTATTGTAGGTAGGTACCTATAGTGTGAAAGTATCAGCCCTAGCGAAAAACTCTATTAACCCCTTAGGCGACCCGATTCATCCCAAGGCCTGGGTGAATAGGGACAAGTGAGTTTTTGTAACTTTTTATGATTGTTTTTTAATAAACCATATCTTGATGCGTTATAAATGAAAATTTAAACTACCGGAACCATTATGATATCCGTTTTATTACTATAACTACAAAACCATACCTTCTGTCAATACGAAATTTGTGCAACGTTTTGGCGACTTCATCAAAAGACGAATTTATAATAAAGTCGTCAAACACTGTAATATTACAAATAAAAAATATGCATCTGCAAAATTAATTATAAAGAAATATTTGGTCACCCTATCATATGAGGAAACAGAAGAATTGTTAAAAACTGACTTTTGCTAATTGATGGTATTTGTGAAATTTTTGGGTAAATATTGTAGTTGTTTTAATTTTTTTTCTTTTTCTTTTTAAATGTAAATACATATAATAATACATTCCAGTTATATAAAACTTGGCTTGGTTGTTAAAGGTTTCTTTCTTTTTTTTAATGTTTTTGGATTTTCAGCATTAAGCCGTCCTTTTATTGCTGTTTTGTGTAGGTACATTAAGATAGATTGTCTGATAAGATGTATAAAATAATGCCTAGTGAACTTTGGTCTCAGGTTTCCTCGATACTGGCTTGCCTAGTGAGGAAACCAACAGATATTACCTATTGTTTATATTTTTCTGTTAATAAAACATTTTTAAAATCAATGTCGAACTTAAAAAGTGTCCCGATTCCCCCCATTTTACGGTACCGATAGTGGGGGACTGCGCATGCCTTTTCCGTACACTTTCTTATTTATTGCACGGCACACAAGAATGCTCAGTGGATATTCGTAAAGAATTTGTGCGTCACGTGACGAACAATAGGGATGAATGTGCTGTTATGTCTCATGACTATCATGGCAACAATCATGGAACAAAAGAAGAGTATACATATATTATATGTTACACCACTCTACACGGTTTCTGCGAGTTAGTTGCAGCCGGTCAAATATACCCATTTGTATTTGAAGTGTATCAAGGTATGCCAAATTTGGTACAGAAGACCAACCCATCAAAAGGTTACGTTTTCCCAAGATCTTTCTAATAGTCACCTTGATACATACGCCGGTGCCGATTGTGATATTAACACTGATGAGCGTCCAATATTCAAAAAACGACGCATTGAAATGGCTGTATCTTCGACGTTTATTCAACCTTCACCAATATCTAATATTGTGCAAGACTTTTATTTACCTACTTATACAATTATTGAATCTGAATGTCAGTCCTATTTAATCTCTTCTTTGTCCACGAATAATTGCATAGAATCTCCAACACTTACAATTCCCAAGAGTCAGTTCAAAATAAAATTAGTTTCACAAATAAGTCACAAAAAATAAGGAGAAGAAACGCAGGTTGCCGAAAAATTTTGGTCAAAAATTTGCAACTCATGGTATCAAGAAAAATTATAATCAAAATGAACCTTCTTCTTATCATCGTAAACATGCAGCTAATTATCAGGAAAAAATACGCTAAAGTTTACAGGCAGGCTGTCGTTGATTATCAGCGGAAAACCTTGAAATACAAAGCAGCAGTATAAGCAGGCTGCAAATAAATATTGAAGTGAACGAAACCATGAAGGACAGCGAGTTGAATTGGAATTCTTAAGCCTTTTCTGGGCTGAGTTATGATAGTAACATAGCGTACGATAGGGATAATACTGTTGTTTTGGGACCGATGAACATCGAATGCAAATGTAAAAAACGTGTAAAACTCTCAAGTACAAGGATGAATCTGTGGAAATGTGCTGCGATTCATGAAAGGTCCAGCTCGAACCCTTGCAAAAGCTTCCATATCTTCTTTACTGTTTGGTAAACAACCTCTATGCTGAGCATGATCACTTCATGGCTTACATACGGCATTACTTATATAATAGTTGTTTTCAAATGACTGACCTGATAATACAGGATGGTTTTATGCCCACATTCAAAGTAAAGTTACAGGAGTGTCATTTGGTTGGAAGTTTGCTTCCGCCATCCCAAAATGAACCACAGTTCTTACATATATACTTTGATGGTGAGGACGACAGTAAATTTCAATTGAGATGCAATCACTAACTTTATGTAAAACTTGGTTTTGTAAGGTTTTACAAAAATCGCATGAAAAGAAAAGCTACATATTTTTTATAAAACGTAAGAGAGTTTAAGCTAGTCCTGGATAAGGTATCTATATTCGTAATGTAAACGTAAGAGAGTTAAAGCTAGTCCTGAACAAAGTATCTGCTACGCTAAATACATTTAACCCTTAAAGGCTACTACGGTGTTTTTACACCCGAGTGACTTAATTTTGTACCTATATCTCTTTTCAGTTTTAACGCAGCGCCTTGAGACTTCGTGTATTCTCGTATATCGACAGTAGCCCTCGAGGACGCGGGGAGAGTGGTTGTGCGCGAGCGCCCGTCCTGAGATACACTCGTGACCCGGTGTTTTTTCACCCGTTGTAGTCATAGTGGGTTACAACTTAGGTAATTAACTTTTTATGTTTTATTTTTAGTACGTGTGTACTAGTGTATAGAATATGATATTCGTGTGTGTATTATTATGTGTATTGTATTTATTATTTTTATTTGATGTGTTATTGTATTTAGATGTATATTATGATATTTTTATCTCAGATTATGCAGCAACTGAGGGAACAAGCAACAGTTAATCAAGAGACTCTGAAATTCATAAGAAGATGCACAAAGTGTCGACGATGACACTACTTCTAACATATCAGAAGCTGAGTTGGAGATGGAAGTTGATGAGTCTCCTTCTCCACTGGATGGAAGACAAGTAAAATTAGGTAATACGCATTTTACTTGTGTTGAAACATGTTGTTGCCCCAAAAAAGAGTTTTGAAGGGCAAAGAAAAGCGAGGATACCCTACCTACAAATGGAGTACTAAGCCACCGCCTCCTCATCGAACTCCTGGTAAGAATATAGTCCCATATTTACCAGGTCCTGTGGGTGTTGCCAAAGAAGTGACTACAGAACTGGATGTGTTTAAATTGTATTTCAATAAAAAAATTATTGATACTATACTTGTTCATTCTAATCAGGAAATCGCTAAACAAAAAGCAAATTATGGCCCGCAAACTTCATATACAAAAGATGTTGACATTTCAGAGCTGAAAGCCTTTTTTGGCCTTTTGTATCTGACTGCAGTAAAGAAAGATAACAGAGTATCAACAAATTTTTTGTGGGGCATCTCTGGCAGTGAAATTTACTCAGCCATCATGTCAACAGAGCGTTACAAATTTCTAACCTAGCTTACGGTTTGATGACCGTATGACCAGGGACATCAGAAAAAGTACAGATGAATTTGCACATATCCGTGATATTTGGGAACTGTTTATGAAAAATTGCGCTGATCTGTATCGTCCATCCGTAAATTGTACTATTGATGAACAACTTGTGGGTTTCAGAGGACGATGCAAATTTCGAATCTATATTCCTAGCAAACCAGATAAGTATGGTCTGAAACTGGTCCTCATGTGTGATTCTTATGATCGGTACGTGATATCTGGAATGCCCTACCTAGGAAAAGGGACGCCAAATGGAAGTAAGCCTCTTGCAGAGTATTATGTTGAAAATTTGACAAAATCTGTTCATGCTACAAATATAAACATAACCTGTGACAACTGGTTCACATCTGTACCTATGGCAAATAATATGCTGAATAAATACAAACTAACAACGGTTGGTACCACGCGCAAGAACAAAGTGGAGATACCGCAAGACACCATCGTAACGAAGAATCGTCCCATAGGAAGTTCAGTGTTTCTATACAATACACATGATAAACTTCAGCTCTCTACGCATTGTCAAAAAAAAATAAGATTGTGATACTTTTGTCGAATATGCACCATGAATCAGCAACATCAGAAACAAGCGAGAAGCCAGAGGTTATTGGATACTATAATTCTACTAAAGCAGGAGTGGATGCTGTTGATCAGATGTGTCATAGCTACAGTTGTTCGAGACGAACAAAAAGATGGCCCTTGGCTATTTTTTACAACATGTTGGATGTAGCAGGAATAAATTCTCACACGATTCTCAATAACAACAACAATAGGAATGGCAAAAACCAGGAATCTCGAGCCGAATTCCTATACAAGTTGTCACTGGATCTAATGTTACCATACATAAAAGACAGACTCAAAATTCCAAACTTACGGCACAAGATTAGAGACAAAATCCAAAGTGTGATCAGTGAACACCGAAAGCTACACTCTGATAATCAAGGTACTCTGTCGGGTACCAGCATTCGAAGAGTTGATAATACAGAGTCCTTGAGAGATTTGTAGTGTGTGCTTATATATAGAATAAGAGAGAGTTAGTAATAAACCTACAGTCAAGACCACTAGACGTATTATCATTTATTCCCCGAATCTCATGGCGACCCTGCCAGGCGGTGCGCTACTACAATGCAAGCGCACCGCCGGGCCCTGCATAGAAAATGAAGTTTTGTTGAAGAAAATAAATACGTTTATTTTGATTTATAATAAAAATATAATAACAAAAAGAACATGATACCGGCTGTGACAAATAAAATAAAATACGAATATAAGAAGAGACAAGAATTTTTCTTATATTAATAAGATTTTTAAAGAGCAATTTAATAAAGAGACAATGATATGCTGGATGATATGAAAAAAATGTTATAGAAAAAATGAAGAAAAGACCTAAAAACAAATTATACAATTAGCTCCAGTAACATTGTTTTAATAGCAAAATCAAGATTGACAAGTTTCAAAAAAAGAAGATTTCAAGATACAGAAAACTGCTTAGTCCAAACTCCTTCAAGAGGCGAGTACTAATTTTAACAAAAATATAAATATGCAAGAAAAAAGAAGAGTACAAGAAAGTCCAGGCCCAACCACATCGGGGAGCTAAGAACACCTTCGAGTGCCAGAGCAGCAGAAAGAAGTCAGGGGTACAACGAGCGACTAGCCAAGTTCTGTAGCAGGTAAAAGACATCTCGAAAGCACCGAATGTAAGTTTAATTATATAAAAGTGTCGATGTCTATTGTCAAATTATATTATTAGGTACTTAAGTAAATAATGTTATACACAGAACTGGGGAAAGAAATTTTTTAAATCATTCATTAAAAAATAGGAAAAACATTAGTACTATAGAAAAATTCTAAATTATGTATCATACCGCAATAATTAATCGGTAAATAACTACTTAATAAAAATTGCACAATACAAAAAAAAAAAAAAAAAAAAAAAAAAAAAAAAAAAAAAAAAAAAAAAAAAATTATTATTTTTTTATAAAAAAAAAAGGCGGGAACCATAAATTTTTGATAGGCCCCCCCCCAAAAAAAAAATAATATGGTATAATAAATACACAAAAAAAAAAAAAAGGGGGGAAAAAAAAAAAAAGAAAAAAAAAATTACTTACTTACTTATCTTAACGCACAATCCCTAACTGGGTAGCCAGAGAGAACAGATCGTCAAGTGTCACGATCCTTACATACCTCTTTCGCTTCTTTCAGGTTCATTAACTTCTTCATACATGCACATCTAGGTATCCGAATACTCTTGAACCTCCCCTCTTCGAGCAATTTGCTCACATGGTCTTCGAAAGTTAGTCTCGGTCTACCTCGACACCTTTTAATATTTACTTTCGCTCTATATATTTTCGGTCTTCGGTCTTCACTCATTCGTTCAACGTGCCCAAACCATTGGAGTACGCCCCTATCAATTTTTGTGATAAGGTCATCTTTCAATCCTGCCATATTGCGAATCTCTTCGTTTCGCTTTCGGTCGGCTATGGTAACGCCACACATTTTACGAAGAGATCGCATCTCCACTGCATTCAACTTGCTTTTATGCTTCTTCTGGCATACCCAGGTTTCGCTGCCATATAATAAAGTCGGTACCAACACTGCGTTATGTATTGCAAGGCGTGCACTCTTCACCACGCCTTGCCTTTTTACTAATGCATTCAGGGCACCATTGACTTTGTTTCCGGCAGCGATACGCCTATCCACATCTAAATCACATCTTCCATCCCGGCTGAAAGCACTCCCCAAGTATACAATTTCATTTACCTGTTCTAGACATTCCTGATTTACCCATATTTCACATTTCGTTCTCTCTTCGTCCTTTTCAAATACCAGAACCTTAGTTTTATTAGCATTCAAACGGAGACCTTTAATTTCACATTCCTCTTTCATACACATGACTAATGCCTGCAGTTCTGCTTCTGATGGTGCAATAAGCACTGCATCATCAGCATACAGCAGACAATTAACTTTTATGTCACCCAATTTCACACCCAAACAGCTATTTTTCAGCTTCTGTAAACAGCTGTCGAGATACAGTATGAACAGCCAGGAAGACATGACACAACCCTGTTTTACGCCCGCTTGGACGCTAAACATGGGTGACAGGTCATGCCCTACCCGCACACAGGCTTTACAGTCCTAGTAAAGTGACTGCACAGCCCTTAACAATCGACCATCCACACCATATCCCGGCAACAGTTCCCACATTTTCTTCCTTATAACCTTATCAAATGCTTTCTGCAGATCCACAAAAGCACAGAAAATCCTCTGGTTAACACTCAGAAGCTTCTCCGTGATCATGCGGAGAGAAAACATTTGATCCGTGCATCCTCTTCCAGGTCTAAATCCGCATTGTGCCTCCCATAAGAATCTTTCCGATTTCTCTTGCATCCTACGTGTCAAAACCTTCGAGTAAACTTTACTTGCTAAACTGGTCAAGCTGATCGCCCGATAGCACCCGCAGTCAAAATGTGAACCTTTACCTTTATATAAAGGCACAATGACCGCGGATCGCCAATCATCCGGGACATCTCCCGTCCGCCAGCACAAATTGCACAGCAGATGAAAGCTGTCCCAGACGCGAGGCCCACCGTACTTGACCATTTCAGCAGTAACTCTGTCTAGTCCCGCAGCCTTACCGCATTTCAAACTTCGAATCGCACGTTCAATCTCTTTCATGCTGATGACCTCAGTGTCATCGAGGTCCGTGTCTGGCGTGCCAGTCACGGCGTCACCCCCGGATCCTTCACTAAGATCATGACACGCATACATTTCTCTATAAAATTCACTCCATCGCTGCATGACATCCGATTTTTCTGAGAGGACGTCATTGGTTCTCGAAAGCACATTGTTCATTCTTAAGGCTGTCACACCACTCCGGGACCTTCCAACCTCTTTCCGGAAGAGTTTGAAGTTTTTCCTAAAGTTGTGCGACAACCTCTCGTCCGCTTCTATTCTACACCTTTCACGTACTTCCTCAATCAATGTTTTCGCATGAACTTTCTGCAGCTTATATCTTTCTTTCATCTTCTCTCTCATATGATCATCGTTACTAGAGGCCAAGTAGTCTAACCATGCTTTTTTCTTCTTTTTTACAGCTTCTCTCACTTCATCATTCCACCATGTATCTCTTCTTTTACTACTACCTCTTTTTGTCATGCCACATACTTCTTCCGCTGCACTTACCATTCCATCCCTAAGGTTCTGCCATGTTCTCTCCACACATTCTTTCCTGCCATCGATGGTGTCAAGCTTTTCGGCTACCCTCGTGTGATATTTGTCCCTAGTATCCGCTTCCTGAAGCTTCCAGCTTCGGATGCGACAGACCGACTGTGGTTCTGTTACCGTCGTCCGGTAGCGCCAACCCGCGAACAAACTCCTAAATCTAGTAATTACTAAAATCTGTTCCCAGGTCAGCACCTGAACACTCGTGTATCCATCACCTGTTTTCGCAGTCGGTCATCCACCAGGAACAAATCAATCATACTTCTCTCATTCTTTCTTTCTCTAGTGTACATATGGATTTTCCTGTGATTAAACATAGTGTTTGTCACAAGAAGACCCTTTTCCTTGCATACAGCCAGTATAAGCTTGCCAGCATCATTAACCCTTTTATCGCCAAACTTTCCAAGCACCGACTCGTATCCTGGTCGAGCGATACCTACCCATCCATTCAAATCACCACATACAACAGTTCTTTCGTTTCCCTTAACCAAATCTAGAACTTCTCTTACATTCTCCCAAAACTCCTCCAGCTCAGCCCTGGACGACGAAGCTACCGGCGCATAAACAGCCAAAAGGAATAACTTCGTCAGTCCCATTTTGAAGCGAACCCAGAGAAGTCTTGAGTTCACAACCTTGTATTCAGTCATAAGATTGACCAACCGGGACGACAACAGCACTCCCACTCCCTGGCAGGCGTTCTCGCTTTCCGGGACTCCGGACCATATAGCTAACGTCCCGCCAGGGAGCTCTTCAGTACCACTGCCTTTCCGTTTGGTCTCCGACATACACACGACATCTAATTCTCTTTCTTTCATTATTTCGATCAACTCATTCGTCTTATCTCTCATGCCCCCTCTAACATTTCACGTGCCAACTCTGCACTCCGTCCTCCACCTTCCGCCGTGTCGGGCTGTGCGTGACGGGTGGCGGTCCCCATCGCCGCTTTGCGCGCTGCATTCCACACCAACGGGGACGAGCTGGTGTGCGTCGCCTTGGGGGGACGCCCTAACCCTCGTTTGCATGGGTGCGCAGCTGTGTAGAATTGCAGCCCTGAAAAGGGCTGGCAGGGGTCGCGACGAGCACGCTTCTACAATGATCCCCAACTACTTAATAATGATAATAATAATATTTGTTTGCTACAATATGGTGTTTAAGTATAATTTAGATCTACATATTCTACCATAGTAATGTGTAAATTTTAATGGACAAGTAACTACAACAATAATTACCGAAATTTTAACAACATATATGTATAAATTATTCAATATTTTTTTGATATACCATATCAATTTTCTTCTAATTTATTATGTAACAGCGTAAGAGAAAATACCAATGTAAGAATATTATTATATCTCAATGTCATATAATTGTTATGATAATTAATTTGTCAATCATTATATATTATAAAGTGAAAATGTTACAACCAATTATCATTAATTTGTTTCTGTATTTATGTCAAATTTATTAATTCCTTATTAAGCAATGTTCAAAAAAAAACATTTTTATGACTAAGAACGTCGCTATCGTATAACTTCTATTAAATAATAACAATAACATATTCATGTACATAACACCAGCATATCCTTAGTAGGGTAACACATCATAATAAAAACAGAAAGGGAAACTGACTAGAAAAATGCTATTCTATTATAAAAGTATGTACTTCGCCGGCCTAAGAGAATTTTGATAGTAATGTTTCTTAACTGAGTTAAACGTTGACTGAAAAAAAATTATCCATTTTGTACAAAAATTAGCAATGATGTATTTAAAAGGTGTGATAAATGAAA